AGGCTAATCTACTTGAGAAGAGGCGAAAACAAGGCAAGCCAACTTAAGAGACATGGAAAGCACATAGGAAAACCAACCGGGAAAACCAAGAATACGAAGCCAACAACACCAAAATCACATTGGGGCCTAGAGCAGCCAGTTTTTGTCGCAACAAGGCTCACAAAGACAAAGAACCAACAGTCTAAAGTAACATTGAGGCTTAAAGCCAGTTTTTTAGCAACAAGGCTCGCAAAGACAAAGAACCAAGAGTAACCCAAAAAGGATGGAAAACGCCTGACGCGCAAAGAGCACAGAAGAGAGGGAAACAAAGCAAGCCATTAGTGAACTTGGCCATTTAGAAGAACCGCGCCCGCTCGCTTCTCGCTTTCCGTTGCTTGCCGGACTGGTTTGCAGATGGCAGGGTTTCAATGATTCAGTAGGAGTCTCTGCTAGATTTGGCCAGAACTTGTCCACACCTCCGCTGTACTCGTGAGGAATAGACGGCAAACGGCCAATGTATATACAGTCATGGTTCATATTCATCCACCGCATACCGCATTGTAGCTTGCCGTTCTTGCAGTTCTTCAGGACGCCCATGGCGGATTTTACCTGTGCCAAGTTAAGTAGAAAGAGGACATCTAGAAAAAGCAGCTGTTGAATTGCTAAGCTCTAAACTTGGAGCTGCAAGTCAGGAAAGTTCAGGAAAGCACACGAATGAAACAAAACATGTTCAGAACAGGCGAACAGGTCATCAGTATGCAAGCTGTTGCCGTAGTTGCTGGCATTACTGGCGCTAGCCTGCGGACTGCAAAGTATTCACTTCGCCCTTCGCTGCGCGCAATATGTAATTCGCAGTAAAGGCAACTCTGACTGGTCGTATCCAGAGGGCAGTACTTCACAATCTCCAAGCCCCAAGCTTGTCAACTCAGTGTGAGTTGCCGCCGTGTCAAGCATGCATGAAGCGCTAGCAAAGGTTCCCTCCGTTATGTTACCATCCCAGCTTGTACTATACTGACTAATTATGACTCCCTTTTTTGACCAAGAGATTGCACAGTGCAGTGATTGAGGTGCCATTGCGCTGCAAATGGAGACGGCGAGTTGGAGATTTACCAGTTGAGATACCTGGTGTCACTTCGAATATGTCCGCACCATGTGTCAGTCACCGTGTTCTTTGACTGTTTAGATTTGCTATGCTGGTGAGTGTGGATGATGTTGGTTTAAGCATTTGATTGAAGCAGGTATCAGATCTCGGCTGATGATGTTGGGACCGACATTTCAGTAGAGGCACTGACACTCATATTCTTGTGCAATGTGATGCAGTGTTGTAGGCTGTAGCGGAGCAATCTTTGGCCTCACCAGCTGTCAAGTGTTGAGTGCAGAAGTCAAAGGCACAACCAGCAGACGCCGATGATGGTCATCATGGCATTGTTGTCGGGGAGGCGGTCAATTTAATGACACTTGGTCGGTGCAAGATCTCTTGAGTATTTTCAAGTGAATATAGCAATATTATGCAATCTTTGTTTACTGATACTCTTTGTGCAATCTCTTGGATTAGTTTTGATGTAAGTTATATATCTGAGTGTTTGGGGCTGAATCGAAAGGGACAGAGGCAGCATAACAGCAAAAGAAGCAGAAAGCAAATGAAAGCAATAGAAAGCACAAGTCCACTGAGAACCGCAATCGCTCTCAGATTGGTCCCTTCGAGCTTGATCCAGCAACTCGACGGAGTCTTGACAATGCACTGGGATTTGGTGGAAGCAGGCTCACAGGGACAGGGACGGGAGGATGTTGAGCGGTCTCAAAAGAAGGGTTCCTTTGGGCCAAGAGCCCTCAAAGGCCTTAGGGTTCCAAAGGGTTCCTTTTAAAGGCCTTAGGCTTCCGATTCTTTGGGGATCTGGGGGTAGAGCGTTCTCGTGACGTTGCTTTGTGTTTTGTGAGGTCGACTGTGTGTGTGTGTCCACCCCTGGACAAAGGGTCTTTTCCAACCGATTCACTTTCCACCCGTTTCACCACCGATTCGCAAGCAGGGGAGTGGTGCGCGGTCTTGGAGTCACCACTCAACGAAGACACTCCTCGAACCGCGGTGATATCCGGAAGGGACGCCTTCTGGACGTACCTGCGCTGAACATACTGACTCCACTGGTTCCCCTCGCCGCTGTTTCTTTGTTTTCATGGTTGTTTCCCATGATACCTTCCCCACAAACAGGTTTTTCCACCGCAGCTTTCAGCCGCTTTTTGTCTTGCTGCCGCAGATTTCAGCCGCTGAGAAACAATTGTTCAACTTTCAATTGCTCGGACTTATGCAGCCTTTCTGTTCCCTCACCTTCCTTCTCAACGTGGTAACTGAGTCACTGAAAACCAATGTCGGAGTGTGTTTCGCTCAGCCGTCCCACTCGGGTGCTGAGTGTGATCCCCGTCACAGGGGCGCTGTTTTTGCATCGGAAAGCATCCACCCCAACTTGCCACCTTTCACCGGATTTCCACGGGAAGTCTTTGACACACCCATAGAATCAACTGATGCACTGGCCTCCGGGCCCAAACACGGCAGCTCTTTCTCTCACAAACCTTCAGATCAGTCTTGCACGAGTTTGTTACATGATTTGACTTGTAAAGATTTTTGGATCTGTGCCGTGACCTTTCCGTCAGAGGAACTCAAGCTTGCATACTGGAGTTCTCTAATTCGAGATGCGCGACCACATGTTACACATTACAACAATTTTACCTGTCACATCAAGCTCACCTTCACAGCATACTCCCTTTCAACATGAACACTGCGACTCTCAACATCACCATGACCACAACATTTTTGCAATCTCAGCCGCACCACTGCTGCTGCGCTGCGCCGTGCCATTCAGAAGCCTCTACTGCACCGCGCTGAAGTTTCACGACCAACACCGTTGACCACAACATGCATTTTCCCTGGCCGTATTCCCACGCTACTCCACCACCACTACCCATTGGGCAACCACAGCCGACATTGCCGCTGCCGCAGCCACATACCGTACCCACTTTTCCTTCACCACATCCCTCGGCGTATCCTTTTCCGCAACCACAACCCTATCAGGCTCCGCCTACCATGCCTATTCCAAGTCCCACCACGATGTCCTATGGCACTCCCTCAGCCTGGACAATTGTGCATCCATCTCAGCCGCCACCGCAACCCACACACCCACCCCCAGCTTTTCCATCACCAGCACCTCCTCCTTCTTACCTGGTACAACAACTGCATCACACACCACCCACCGACCCTACCAACACCACTGCGATCCAATCACCTCCAGCGCCACAACAGGCAACAATTACTCACCATCCTCCCACAGACCCACAGTGGCCTATGCCCCAGGGTGTTTGGCAACCCTATTCAGCATTTCCCCCAGTCACACAACCTTCACCGCAACCTTTGCCTCCACCACCGCCTCCATTGGCCATCAGCGACTCACCACCAGCTCAACCACCACTTCCGCAACCGGCACCATCCGACCCCCCAGCACCAGTCCCCAATGTCGCCACGTCAGGCACTGGCTCCCAACCATCTCCATCACCATCCATTGCGTCAGCCCCTCCAACTACTGCACCTCCACAACCTGCAGCAGACAAGCCAGACAGCACCGCTTCACCAGCACCACCACCACCGTCCCCACACCCACCTCACAGCAGTCGCCGCCGCCGCAAAAGCCGGCGAAAGTCTGACCATCACCATCGCGGCCGCCACCGCCACCATCGTGGCATCGACATCACCGCCACTCTAAACACCACAGCGCCACCAGGCGACGTCGCTCGCCTTCAACCTCCACCTACTCTTACAGCCCCACACCATCTCGCAGCCGCTCCCCACAACCCATCGACCTACGACCCAACACCGACAACACCAACACCGACCCTTCTCAATATCCCGCGACAGCAGTCATCCGTCGCCCACTCAACCGCTGGCGACCTCCACTCAATTTTCAAGCCCTTTCACCAACGGACCAACTTCTTGACTGGTTCGAATTCCACGCCAACCAACTCGACTCCCCCAACCGACCACAACACCAATACATTGCCAATCTCCTTGCCGACTGCCACATCACTTACAAGGACATTACCGATTTTCGACAACACGCCCATGCGAAGTGGAATGAAACCACTCACCAATACGATCAATTCCAATACAACGCCATCACACTCCCTTACCTCAACACAAAAGCCGCCACACCAGAGCCACCAGCAGTTTCCCGTGCCACTTCCACCCACGGGGAAGTCGCGCACATTAACGCCGGCCATACAGGCCCAGTCGGCAACATTGCCAACATTTTACGCCAAGGTCGTTTCCTACCCAGCACACTCCACTTTGCCAACTACCCTGGTTTTTTCGCTCAGGGCATCCGCATCACCCACAACCCAACCCACGACCAAAGCGAGTTCGCTCGCATCATTCACAACACTTGGCAGCTCCACAAAAACACCCACTCACTCATCGTTACGCTCCTCGCCTGGGGCGCTGCCACAAAATACACTTCCGGTGGCGAAGAACAGGCCATGGCCCTCCTCAACGAACGACACGGCGCCGTCTTCCACCAGAAGGGTCGATGTTGGGTGATTCACCCAGACCATGCCATTGTCAAAGGACTGGCATGGTCCACCAACTCCACTCCCCCTGACCTATGACACCACCATCCACCACCTCCCAACAACGACCACCTCCACCTCCACTCTTCGTTTCACCCCACCGCACATACCTTTGCCCACAGCAACAAAAGAGGCCATTGCTGCGTTCCCGCGGTCCTGTCGAGTTTTCAAGTTTTCAAGAACTGGCGAGTTTGATTTGCAGATTTTGCTCTGAACCTTCTACCAGGCTCTTCGGATGAGAATTTTAACTTGTGACTGCTCCACTTGCCATGCTGTTTCTCCGTTTACCCATATATTTTTGACCATTCTGGCCTGTGTTTTCTGCTCGATTAATTCATACGCATGATCCCGTGATGACGTGCTGCTGCTGGCCAGCTGCAGCCTAGCCGCTTTGCCGCGCTGCAGCTGCAACCGGTGACGAACTCCTACTGATATCCGCCCACATCATGAACAACACCGATTCAACTCCACACCACGACAACCAAGCTCTTTTACACAAAGCCACTGTAGCACTTTCACAGGTCCAAAGCCTGCTCCGACAAGCAACAGACATCATGGCACACCTCCACACCCACTTTCTACACCACATCCGCCAGGCGGATCCCACTTTCCGCCAGAATTTCCAACAGCTCCCACCACCACCAACCTATTAACTTACCTTCCCCCACTTCCTCCTGCGATTCGGCACCCTCCAGACCACCTATTCGCCTACCACCACCAACATCCAACAACTCCGACGACACACCTTCACCCACCCCAACTCCACAACCTGCTACAACTCGCAAGCGCAAGCAACCACCACTACCACCACTCAACCAGCAGGCAGATTGGGACGCATGGGATGGCGACGCCGATTGTCGCCTCCTGGAACTCAAAGGCAATCCCAGACTCCGCCCCAATTGGATTTTTGTCGCTCGACGAGTTGGCTTCTCCGTCGAGCAATGTCAGGCCCGATGGAAAGAACTGAAAGACCTGCAACATTTACAGGACAAACAATTCTCCGCCACATCACTACAGGCGGACCCACACCAACAGGAACCTTCCCCTCCACCCACTCCCACCTCACCAGCAGGCTCACCGCCGCCACCTTCACAAACGGATTTTTCACCTTCTCCCATGACAACACCTCCGACACCACCAGCAAAATCACCCACAGCTGATGTGCTGCCGCTGCCGGCTGCTGAGCGAGCGCCCAGTGAGAACAGGCATCCGGAGAAATCTCCAACCACGCCTATTGGCAGTTATTTCACTTGACTTGTTTCACCCAATCTCCCCGGCGTGCCACAGGATAAATCCAGCCACCTTCAGTGACATCCTTGTGTAGTTTCCTTCCAATCTCTCAATTTTGTGATGTAACACTGCAGTTCAGGTTTTTCGACACGCTTGATCCGTCTTCCATGCGTTTCCTCCCAGCATTTTCCGCCATATGTTGTTTCACCGAATGCAAGGCTCATTACAGCTCCGCAGCCTTTTGTGTGCCACTCTGCCCTGAACTCTCGTGTCGTACCTGCCTCCATGGCCACTCCTCCCGCTCGCCCACCAGTCAGCGCTACAAATACGGAATACTTTCTACCAGCACGACCCCCTAGCTGGCTCCAACCTTCTATTTGCGCTCAGCCGGACTTCCAATCTCTCCACAGCTCACTCGACCTCCTGTTCATGGTCAACCAACACATTCGCCGCCGCCCACTCAGCACATGCAGAGCCTATGCCCAACCAAACATACTTTCAAGACGACAGAGCATACCACCTCCTTTACCGCATGCGCGGCGACTTGATGCTGATGGACCGCCTCATTGACAGTCTTTACCTCGCTCGCCGGCTCCTCCAGTTCGTCACCACTGGACCAGGCCTCCCGGGGCAATATCGCATCGACCCCACAGCACAACTCTCCTCCCGCAACCTGGCCACCCTACATGACACACCGCCCGGCTTCCCCTTACCACCACCACACTCCAACCGCTCACCCTCCCCAGCACCACGCACACCACCACAAGATGCAGAACGCTTCCACCACTATTGGACAGGTCCTCCACCACGAACCGCCCACAATCTCAGCAATGACACCAGAGCCAGAGAGCGTTCTCGCTCCCGTGACGCCCGTGCTGACTAACTACAGCCTCCAGTGCCACAGCAACTTGCGCAGCCCGAGA